GCAGAATACGTTGTATTGCTGAATAATTCTTTCCGGTATCACAGTTCTCACCACATTAGGTACGCGTATTTCCTCTTTGTTTGATAATTTTAACGTGCGTGTGCCAAATGGTAAATCCTTTGTTCTGACACAAACGTTTTCCCAATCTCTTTGTAGTTGATTACGGATAGGACTGAGATCCCTGCTCAGAAGAAAATTGTTCAGCTTTTCTCTACTAGAGGGTTCTGGTAGTTCTTCACATTCATCCGAGCTTTCTGATGAGGGCTGGTATACACTTCCAGGAGTATGTGGTTGAAAAATTGGCTTTGACTCTGCGGCCAGATTGAAAGTAATATCATCGTCCACGTCCTACAGGTATAAATTTGATCTATTAACATTACATGCCAAACATGAACAGTTCATTTTTGCCACTCACCAAAGAAATGTTTTCTATGTCACGTGATAAGTCATCTACATCTTGCTGGACTGTTGCGGCAGTAAGTCCGGTAACGACGTTTTGATTCTATAAAATTAACAAAGACACATTTAAGATTAAAATTGTATAACTCCARTGRATGAAAATTTAYGTATGATGTGCATGCGCAATACTTAYTATCCCCCCCGACTTMGCCTTCTCGCAAAATAGTTCTACTTTGTGTCACTCACCAAAGAAATGTTTTCTATGTCACGTGATAAGTCATCTACATCTTGCTGGACTGTTGTAGCAGTAAGTCCGGTAACGACGTTTTTATTCTATAAAATCAATACAAATACATTTAAGACAATTTYATGAAATGATAATTTGCATATGGTGCGCAATAACCAGTACTCCTGCCACACACACGCCACACCACGCCCAACTCATATCCTACCCGGTATATATTGATAATAAAACAGGAAATAATAGAGCTTTACCTACCAAAGTTTTGTTCGACGTGYCTTGTGAAAGTGTGGCGGCATTTTGTGGCTCAAGGCGTGATCTACACTCTTTACAAATACCTATATGTAGATATTAAAAATAGTTAGTKTAAAACACAAACACAAAATTGTCGAAATTGTGGCTACATGTCGAAAATCCGAACTGCTAGAAAGAATAGATGCATACATATCACATGTAGATATGCACRTAGAAAGTTGATCATTTACCTGAACCAACAGGAATGAGTACGCCTGTCTGTACAAATATCGACTTTGAGGCTTCTTTCCCAATTCCTCTGTCCCCTTTCTTGTCAGGCTTATGTTTAGAGAGAACTTCTGGAACACGGCAGGTATCTCTACCCCTTCGCCATCCAACGCCAAGTTCCGAGCGGTGATAAGGGCATATGTTTAAAGAAATGCGTTCCTCTCGCTCTAAACAAAACATGCCAGCTCGTGCAAGAATCAATTCCTCCTCACTTTTCACACCAGAAAATTTCCACGTCGATCTATGATTTGCTATTTCTTTTTTGCATGTTGTCAAAGGAACGATGTCAAAAGATTTCTTTTTGTCTCTTCGGTCAAACGAACAATCTGAGCCGACAAAAGAACGAAAAGAACAACCTTTTGAAGACGCCATTTCTAAAAGTGTACCAGGGACTCAGATGTAAACAAACTACCCCGCTACATACAATTTTGGCTGCAGAACTATATTTGCATAATCCACTTAGATATCAATGCCGATAACAGCAAAATGTCCTAAGATTATTTTTTACATTTATACAGCATTTAGGTCGAAAGCAATAATCACAACATATTATACCTTTTTTTAAAATCTAATTTATGTAAT